GTGGGGAACAAATTCATTTAGAAAAGAGGCGTTACGCAGACCAGGAGCCATGCTTGTGGCTATTTCTGCATGCACATAAGACCATGCAAAAAAACATCCAAATGAATCAGCAGGCCAAGAGGCTTTTACGTCAACGTCTCTGTGCATCACTGTAAGGTCAATGCTAACTTATTACATGGGTGGGTCACACGTTGCTCCTCGCTTATCTGTGCGAACAAAGTCTCTCAATGTAACCGTTCGGTGGTTATGCGTGTTTACTGGACATCGTCAGCTTTATGTCGACTCGCAAAGATGAAGCACCCGAACGTGCGATTGATCTCAACAAGCTCGAGTTTGCACGTCCAGCCCGCCATTGTGTCACCAAGGTGGCTTTAAGCCAGGCCATCGGGGGGGGGGGGGGGGAGGGGGATTCCTCCCAAAGAGGAAATACAAGGGTCTCAGGAGGAGTTAAGATGCAGCCAACTCATGTATTTATCGGGAACAGAACCACCCAGGCATTACCAACATATCGGCACTGAGTGGCCGGTGGTGACGTCACGTGTGCAGCCATATGTTACGTGTACTATACAGAAAATAGATGCTGCAAAAGCTACAGCGGGGACAACGGTCCCACTCACATGGAGTGTCCAGACACTAGCGGGGTACTGAGAGCTCAACTCTATGGTTGGATTTGTTTTGCCCGAATACAATCGCTGTGTAGAACACTTGTCCAGACATATCTGCCGTCTGTACAATGCTGTTCACAAGCAGAGGTAAGAATGTGCATGGTTTAAATAATAATACAAATGTAGTTGGTACGGACAAACATAGCTCGCTTATCTTCACGGAGAAGTTGACCCAGAATGATTGAAAAAAATCTTAGTCTAAGTCATCACGGCCTGCTCTGTCCACCGGACAGCACGGACAATGAAACCGTTTCTGGTGCTGACAGGAGTATGCGTCACCTCGTGTCATTAGGGCTTTACGACGCACTCAGTTGCTGAGGCCATGTAGCGTCGCCTGCTTCTCACCCTGGCAGGAAGGGCGAGCATCGCGGGGAATCGAACCCTGTACCCCTGGTTCTCCACACGCGCAGCGGTTAACGCAGACGCGTTGACCACTACACTACCGGCACCCAGTATGCGTCACCACCGACCACCGTCACCACCGTCACCGTCACCAACACTGCTGAAATCCGATCCTCGGCCATCTCAGAGCTGGAAAGGTTAAAGTGAGCTGAAGAACGAACTGTGAAAAGTGAAAGACTTGGTCAGCCCTAGCGCTTCTGAACAAGCTTTACGTGAGTCATTTTTCCGCATGAGTTAAAGTCATACCATGTTTTTGATATTACGATGTTAAGTGTTATGACTTGAATATAACATGGTTAAAAATCTACTTCAACGCTGGGTTTGCTATCAACTGCATGATGTGCAGTTGATGTTAAACAAAAATACGGTGCAGAGCAGTTCTACCTCAAATGTTAACATCACGTCATGGGCCCATGACGGGTTTTGTCGTAAAATGATGCATCGAGGGAATGATATGTTTGGTGGGACGAATCTAAACCAACAAACCACGCCTCTCAAATCTGTGTTTGGAAAAGCAACGGCTAAAGATCGGCTTGTGTCAACAGCCTATGATGGAGTTTTGATGACCAGTGAGCTGCGGTAACATTACGACGTTGGCTCACGTTGTTGGAGAGAAACCTATAAAAAGCTGAGGAATATCCCGTGAAACGTATCGCCTAAGTGTTGCAATCTTTACTTGCTACTTGTCGCCTAGTGCAAAATTTAGTGACAAGACCTTGTAAAAATCCGTTCACGTCAATGCCCTAATGAGATCCAGATCACAAATTTCACATTTCCTTGAAAATTAGTTTGGAATAGAAGCTCAACGTTGACTGAAGTCAGGTAAAGGGGCTGAGCGGAGCAGCAGCCCACTTCGCCTGTTGAACCATCTTCAGACTGGCATGACCTATCACAGGTCATATGTGTCGAGGTCCGCTGATTCTTCTAAGAGCGTTTCAAGATCTATTCAAAATCGTGTTCTTCATGATCATAGCGCGTATATCACTTGAGACAACAGGAATGTTCTATAAAGTGATTATTTTATTGCTATGACCTGATTTTCTCCATCAAAGAACCATTCAGCACTGTTTTTTCATTCTAATTACCTTTATGGTCGTAACACGTTTAGCTCTTATAACAGGAGGAGTCTATAAAGTGCCAATTTTACTATCATGATCTAATTCTACCTTTCAAAAATCACAATCAGCATTGTTGAATTACACATATCTAATGCAGTCTGGCGAGAGCGTTCCTATGTCGTTTCTGCGTGGTTCTAGCTCGCTTGCTTTTCGATAGCTCTGGGGGCTTCTGCGGCCCCACTCGTGAAGCGAAGGTAAAAAACTCTGTTGGAGTGAGGTTTAATGCTTTTGGCTGGCCTACACCGCATCTGCTTTCAATTTACGCATGTGAGTGCTTTAATGAATCAGTTTTAAGTTTAGTGGCGTGAGGTAACAGTTGCGCCATCTACGTGCACATTAAGTTGGTAGAGTGCCCCACAATTCACAAAGACTGTCAGCGCATGTGCGCACGCATCCCGGAACTAGCGTACAACTGTTTGGCGGGCCAGAGCCGGTGACAAGGTTTGGAGAGCAAACTAGCAACTGGTTAAGGGAGGGTCAGGATGAGACGGGACGACTGCGTCAACGAGTTAAATTACAGTGCACACATTTATACCTGCCGTTTTCATCGAGCCGAAGCAAAATAATTTAAGTTCAACCGTAATGGTTCTGCTGGTGTCGTGGGCATCAGCGTATTTGCAGCAAGCTTTACTTGGCACGGAGCCAAGCCAAAGCCATCCCACCAAACATTTTATGTGGTTGCTTAAAAGCCTGGGTGATGAAAGTTATCAGAGCTTCAAATAATGCGTGTGCCCCCAATCGTTTTCAGTACTTCAGAATCTGCTGGTTTGATTTCCTTGCGGTACAAAAGCCTAGTGAGCTGCCGCTCCCCAGCAGCCTTCCGTCTTAGCTAGTCATGGCTTCTGGCCACCTCATCCTGCGTCTGGTTAGCCTCTGTGCTGCTGTTTAGCCAGACCATATCACCGCTTTGCCTGGCTGTGTTCAGGCCGAATCGATGGAAGTCGTGTTTCCGTCCCGGGTTTCGGCAGTCGGCCGAATTACCATTATGGATGGGGCTAATCACGTGAGACTCCCTGCCGCGGTCGGCCGGCCGCACCACCAAAACACATCGGGGCGGAACACGAGCTGCCGGCAGAGCGTTTTTGCCACCGCACCTGCTACATCATCCAGTGCATCACGGATGAGCCCGTCCGACCGGGGCCAAGGGCACACGGGCCGCTCATGTGCCCACTCGGTGCACTTTGGAACTTGTGACGTTTACGTATCTGCGCTCTTTTTACAAATTAACGCTTACGTATCTGCGTGTCTATTTACGTGTCAACCGCTGGTCTTTGAGGCTCGTTGCTGGCTACCACTGCAAGGCTGGAAGGGCTGGCTACCAGCCTGGTCGACGCTGGGCTAAATGAGACGTTGTTTTGGGCTGCCCACTCGACCAGAACACATGAACGAGATTACACCAGGCGACGACCATTAGGGCTCCGTGTCACAGTGAGCGGTGAAGGGAACAAGCAGTCAGGTTACGTTACGGTTCGCCCGCACAGGTAACCTGTGTCCCCGGCATCCCGTCCACGCTGACCGTCCGTGACTGTCGTGACCTCTCCGACTGGTGCTGCCGGACGACAGCGGCTGTGCCGCGTCGATCCTCTCATACCGAGGGTTTGCCAGGACGAATATTGCGCGATTCCCAGCCTACTGTGTTTCGCCGGCATTGGTTAAATCACGAAGATGCTACGTGGGACGCAAGCATGAATATGCCTCGTGAGTATGTATCTTTTTGCGCCGGGAATACTGGCCGTGGCCGCACTCAGTCAAATGATATTTGCCGAGGGGGCTCGCCGACCAGACCCGTGTTGTCGCCGGATTGTCGTACGTTTGCGCTACAGAAGCAGACCCACCAGGGTGACACAGAGGCACACTCCATCGGGCCAGTGGAACACACCAGCTATTAATAAAATCTTCTTGCACAAAAGCATTACTTCGTTAGTGTTAGTAAAAGATCACGGTACCCGCAAGTTTTTTGGCATGGTTTTCTACTAGGAGCGAGGCAATCTTCGGACATTCGTCAAGACAGTACCACGCGGCCACACGGACAACAGTACCAAGCCTAGTTGACAATGAACGTCAGCTGACGCAAGAACATTAATCCTTGCAAAATGCCAAGTATTTTTGTTGCACTTCTACTCATCATCGAAAACCGGTGACCAGGAGTGTCGGCGCTGTCCACCGCGGCACGCAGAATCGTACATTGGTACCCAAATTAGGAATACAAACCTCAGGAATTTCTGTTCTAGCTGCGGCACTTCCCGTTAGGAAGTAAGAGATACTAGTATGACGTGTCAAGTATGACGACTGACAGGTCGCTTACACCCAGAAGCACTTCAATGTAGTGCTGCAAAATTACGTCTGGTTAACGCACTAAATATCATTTGGCAAATCAGGTTACTGATCTGATGAAATGAATGCTGACATCCCTGTCAACGGAAGAATAAGCGAGCTTGTTTTGAGATGGATGACAGGGGTGCCGGCGTAATGTTGTCAACAAAATTAAATAAACACGGCATATCGGAGCCTAGGCCTGAGCGGAAGTGAAGAGAGAGCGAGAGAGAGAGCGCGAGAGAGAGAGAGAGAGAGAGAGAGAGAGAGAGAGAGAGAGAGAGAGAGAGAGAGAGAGAGAGAGAGAGAGAGAGAGAGAGAGAGAGAGAGAGAGAGAGAGAGAGAGAGCGAGAGAGAGAGAGAGAGAGAGAGAGAGAGAGAGAGAGAGAGAGAGAGAGAGGCTGGTATATAGATAGATAACTAGGTGGCTAGATACTGGATATATGGAGGCATGGTTAGAAAGCCAGATGGCCAGTGATACGGCCAGGGGTCTGCATCTCACCGGCCGAGTTGATCCTGTTGACGTCGATGTCGACGCTGGCCCGCCGCAGCATGGTGACCACGGCGTCGGCGTCGTTCTCTCGCACGTTGTCGTCGAACACGACCTCGTCGGGGAAGCGCACCCTGCGGCGGCCCGGGTTCTGGCGCGCGAATAGACTGGCCCGTCGACTCATCCCAGCAGCCGGTCAGGTCAGGTCAGGGCACCGGACACCGCCGACGGAGACCTGTCGGAGAGCGGCGCTCTGTCAGCGGGCTAGAGAGGTGCAGTTTCACGGACAGTTGGCGCGTAGTGAGCCCATGTTGTGTATGAGTGCATGACCCAAAGCCGTTGTACAAACCCGCGAGCACACCGGGGAAGTATGGAAGAGGTGAAAGTAAGCGAGATAGGCTTTATGTACGCTTTATCAAGAATCAAGCCTCTGTTTTGTATCGGTTATGGCGGTAGCACTCTCCGGCACCGTGTGAGGAGATATTCCAACCGTTTATGGCTCTCTACTAAATATGAGGAATGTTGCAAGTGCCAGACATTGCAAAGATACGGTCAGGCTCTCTGATTCATGAGCTCCCTTGAACTACCATGCAGTCCTAGAACTGATGAATACAGAAAGATGATTTAAATGGTTCTTCTACAAATCCGCAGAACAAGTAAATGTGCTATGAATGCCAGAGAGTCATGGCAGTAAGTGCTGCCTCCAACAACATAAAATCTTTCATTTAATTATTTCTGGTCATTCCACTGCACGATGCTTCATAAACATTCTCCTTTTCCCCTCGCCCGGACGGAAATAGTGTGCACTCCACGCATACTGCCCTTAGGAATGACAAAAATACAGATACTTGACATATATTTTCAAAGCAACTGTTGTGCAATGATTGCGCAAATTGGACCAAGCGCATACCATGCCAAGTGATTGCAGTATTGGGCGGCCGGGTGCGGTGGTCCGACTGCATCACAGAGATTCTATCGTCGTCTGCAGTCGGCTCACTTTTGGTGTGCAGAATCGGTGCTAGGTCAGCAACGCTAGAGCGTTGATACCACGAGTTATAGCTGATACGAAACAGGCGTGGAAATAAAGCTGTCCTCGTGTAACCGGATTTAATGCTATATGTTTACACCACGCTTTGGCTTGTAGCGAGCCGATGCTTGTGGAACACAACATGCGAGTATTAACAAGCAGAAAATATGCCGCCATTCGATGAATTACGTGTGCGTCTGCGAGCAAGAGCACGCGTAGCTTTGCCAAAATAAATACACTTCAGACTGAAGGATGACTGACCGCTTCTGTATGCCTGCGCAGCTGCACACTCGATGTCAGGATATCTGCAGCGCGTGTATACCAATGACGTCTGTCTGGGGCGCTGACAGACATCCGGAAATTACCGACCGCGTGTGGGAAGCCGTACGCCGCGCCATTCTATATTGGCTTACACGACTGCGATCGGTGCGTGCACTGGATGTAATTTTCTACGAAATGTATTCTGCTTTCAATAAGATATATCAGCCCTCTCCACGCTGGCTTTTATTTGACTGGTACCTAACTTGGTTCGGCCGGCAGCATTCCACGGGCAATGCGGCAATGCGCGAAAAATATAAGAAGATGGCAAGACTCTTCTTTTTGGCCAGGTCTGTTAAAGCAACAGGTAAACATTACTCTGGCATTGTTTTGGCTTCATCATCATGCACCAATTCGTCAGTTTACGTTTGCATATTTGGTCTCATGGGACCGAACCGCCAAGTGCCGCAAACGTGAAATAACGAATAGGTACAAGATAACGAAAAAAACGCCTCCGGTGTGAGAATTTCGACTGTTTTGAGAGGCATGGCAACAAACCATGGTCTTACTCCGGCTTCTCCGATTTTTTTCAGCGCTTTTTATTTGGTACCGTGTTAGGTCCCAGCCTAACAGTGCTTGCGTGAAAAGTCTTTTTAGTAAATAACGGTGATACTGAACACTGAGGGATATCTCTCTTTGTCGGAAATACGCATGACAACAAACTGCGTTTCATAGTACACAAATGTGGTAATGACCAGATCAATGGATACCAGAGCATAGGACTGATCGGAATTCATCTCAGATCGTTTAGTCACGGCCTTGCCAAGACGTGAAGCAAAAGTTCAAAGACGGAAGGGTATTTTGCAGTTCCGTATCCGGTGTCTATCCTCTCCTGTCTTTACCAATTTCCAAGGGCACGTGAATGCATGAATGATGTGATGTAGTGGTTCCTTTTTAGCCTTACGAACAAATGCTCCGGCGAAGTGTTACATAAGCTCATACATTTAAATCCGCCTTTTACTGGTTAAATTCAAGGGAGTGTTCTACATTGATATAGGGTTGTGAGCTGAAATAGCCATCTTGAAGAACGTTCGGTGATGTTCACAAGCCTGCTCTTTTTAAGACCTAGGCCGCTCTTGTTTCTGGGCAGCACGACCACGAAAATGGGGAAAGGTATATCGGGGAGAGTATTTCAAAAGCAACCTTGGCATTCAGGACGTCAAAATAACGTCATTCAAGTTCTGCCATTCCATAAGCCATGCGGCGATGAATGCCAAAAAACCGATGTGTTTACTTCTGACGCTCATGGGCGCGATTTCCAGATATTACGGTCGTCAACTGGCTCTCAATCAACGTAGTGCAAGGTACGACGACTTAAACAAACCATGACGCATTGAGGAACATATTTACCGAACAGAAAATTGCACTGTCTAGAGCAGTCTTATCTTCTTAAAAAGCACACCAATAGTTATAAGCGAGGTTGTTTCATCATACGCGATGCTTGCTTCAATATCCTCAAACGTAAAACATTCCCTTTGAGCGTCTAGGCGTGTTGCCAGCAGCACCTGCATGTGTGTATCAAACCCTGACACATCTGACGCACGTGGGGCTGTCGGTGACCGGTGGCGCAGTCCGTCACAGGGTGGTCCGTCTAGCTTGCAGGGAGCACACGCCACCCGCTGCGCCCTCGCCCCTGTCGTTGATTGATCAGGCCCACCACCCAGCGCCCGACAAACGCTCCCTAAACGGAACAGCAAGGTCCCATTGAACGGAAATGTGGGCATCATGTATGCCAGGCGTGCAAGGCACGTAGCTCCACAACGCCAAGTCCTCTGTCCCCTCGCTGCCGCAATGGGATTAACGAGGGGCGAGGCAACAGTGCTTTGTACCAATGCAAGCTGCACTGGGCAAGGGAATGTCTTTTGACCACCAGGTGACGTGGCGGACGAAGGCTCTCGGTGCGCTGCGCCGCCGTGCCGGAACATGAGACCGGTCCCAGCCCTCTGCATGGTGCCGGGACCGGCCGGGTCTCGTCCTAAGTACGATGACGCAGAGGGAAGAATGTTTATGACGCATCGTTATGCATGGACCGGTCAGGTCAAGTTCTGGTGGCCTGAACCGCACCACCCTGGACGAGGGGTAGCGCGGTTCGGTGCGGTTCAAGGGGCCCACTTGAGAGCTTTCTTGCATTCAAAGAAAACTCTCCATCGAAGATACGCCTGTCAGTCTTGGCAGCCCCACTTCCCTCAATGTCTTGAAAGCTATGCGTGTTCGAGAAAAAGCTAGTGAAAGCTTAAATCACGTAGTGTTAACACAGTGCACTGTTTTTACATTTTCATTAATACTGAAACAACCATAGGTCGTTTGGATCGAAAAAGTCGTTCTCCTCTCTAAAAACGGCCTGTACCTATCGTTCTTATGAAAGGTCCTGGTATCAACCTTTTATAAAAGGCTGAAAGGATGCGCGACGTACTTCGCACAACAATCTTTAGGAAGCGTAGCGGCTGCAGAGGACAGATGGCCGCACCTGGCCATAGCGATGCTCAGGAATCAAACCCAGGTTTTCCACGTGGAAGCCAAGCACACTCCCGGCTGAGCCATTTTTCCTCTTAGTATCTACGTGATTTTTTTTCTTTTTGGTGCCATTTTACCATAAGAACACAGATGACTACCATTAACGGGAATATAAAAAACAAAACATGTCAGATGTCAGGTCAGCCTATTTCCAAGGGTAACTAATACCGACGGTGTGAATGATGAGCGGACCAGTCAGGTTTCGTTTCCTCCTTAAATTTAATGAAGCTTTGACATTTTCGTTTATAATAGACTAAGCTTACTGGACACATGTTCAGGAATTATCTCAGATTAACCGCGGTAAAGCGATTTTTTGTTTTGCTATTCAACAGCGACAAGTGCTGACTGGTTGTGGTGCTTGGAACAGAGGCAACATCGTTCTTTTAGTTTTCACACTACCTCAAATGAGGTTAAGTTATGCAGCCTCACGTCAACTCAGATCGCTCCCTTCCCCTCCCCTCACCTATACAATGGGCAAAAATGATGGACGGCGGCCAGTGAGCTATAGTGAAGTCCCACGAGCAGTCTGTAAAAAGGGAGCCAGGCTACCTCTTTGACCCTCATGCCACCTCGCATCGGACACAAAAATGCGAGGCCGTTTCCACGCTTTCACAGCTGTGCCGCGCCAAACCTTTGACCCCCATAGCATCAAAACAATGCACCAGGTGGAATTGGGTGCAGAGCTATGAGGTGGAGTATGTCCGATCAGATCAGTTCCAGGCACGACAGGGTTTTGGAATTGTACGTTATGTTGCGTGACGGCAGTTCATATTACATATTTTATCCAAAAAGCACGGGAAACGCATTAAAAAAGCATTCAAGTTCAAATACACGTGTAACAACAGTGCAATGTCAATATCAACAATACCACAAATCTACTTAAGATTGTCCCCAGATTTGAATAATTGAAAATGGAAGTATCTAGCTCCGCAGCCCCCTAGGATGTGGTTTCTCTGCCTATGTCTTTTGTATTTACACTAGCAGTCAAACCACAATGCCTGCTGACACAAAGCTGTCAACAACCGGGGAAGAATTCCCTTTCCCACTTACCTACCGAAGGATCTTTCATACTATCCAGGTCATACCGTAATGGCGTCATAGGTTTCGAAGCTGATGCTCTTTATGACGTCTGCTAGTCTGTCTTCTTGACGCGAGATGCCGTTGAATAAAAATGCAATGCCTAGCTTCCTATGACATTGCGATATCCAAAAAATGCGTGACATCAAATGGCCGGCAAGTAGTAGGACATCATACAATGAGCAGAAAATATGGCAGCTCTTTATTTTTTGGAGTCAAAACATGTTGACAATTACTAACTGATTAATGCTCTTAAGCTATCATGTTTTCCGGCCACACCAAAAAACCGCTAAGATTAA